AGATAAACATCAGCCAATAGAAAATGAGGCTACCTCATTTTCTATTGGCTGTTAGGTTGTCAATCAAACTCCCTACGTTTCTAGTGTAACTACTCAAGATGCGCGGGGATTACGTGGTTTATACAGCGGTTTTTAGAGGCTTTTTTTAGAGGTTTAGAGGTTTGCACAAAGTTTGTCGCGATGGCGGACGAGAATCCACGACCAGTTCGCTGCAAAAGAAAGTCCGTTTTTGAGGTCGCTGAAAGAAGAAGAGAAGAAGAAAAGGAGCAAAGACAAACTGAGGTGATTCTTGGAGATTCCTTCCAGCGATTTCGCGAATGAAGCGGACGAAGGGTCTAAAAACTGACGCATCAGTCGCTAAATTATTTCTCAACAGTAATTCTGAACACGCAATGACTGTAAACAAATGTGATTTCTAGAGTAAGGAGGCGGGAGGAGATGTTTCTACTGAAGGAGCTGCACAACATTTGAAAAACGACTGTCGCTGCAGTCTCTTTCCTTAAAAAATCCTCTATACAACCTTTAACCTGATTCATCGCAGCGTTAGGATTCGTTCGCTCGACAGTAGGCGGGTACTTTTTTTATTAAACCAATCGCTGCTGTTTGGACGTGACGTATGTAATGCGCCAAATCCCAAAAGAAGAAGGACAATAACGTCTTTCCCCTTGATCAAATTCACCAAACGTTCTCTTTGTTCCGGTGTGAGAGAGTATTTTGACTCCCCTTACTTTTTTCTTTACTTATCTGATCATTGTTTCTCATGTCATTTACTTTTATTATATATTCATACATATTCACTTTCTTTTTGTTTTAAGCAATGTTTTGATGGTGAACGACTTGGTATTCTGTGTAAATCTAACTTGAAAGTATCTGACTATAATAAACATATTGGGGGTTAGATTACTACTACTACTACTACTACTCCTTTATACATAAATGATCATTGTCAATATTCAACTAACATTATTTCTTACTTTACATCATAATAACTATAATAAACGTATTGGGGGGTTAAATATGTCAGTATGTTTTAATTTGCAGATACAGTATTAATATTCAAAGTTTTTTCTATAGAATTCAAGTTCTTTATTAAAATATAGATTTTCATAGGGCATCAAAATCCTATACCACACCGGCTTTAAACCCTCGATCTCGGGAATTGTTGCCGCCGCAGAATATCTGGCTCTTCTCTGATTGGCTGGTGCCCGAACTCGCACTTCTGGGGTTTTTGCGAACCGTCTAGTGCAGGCATGTCCAAACTATGGCCCGGGGGTCAAATGCGGCCCTCAGACAAATTTTTCTTGGTCCTCAGACTTCCCGGTGAATTGGCCCAAATTGCCTTGCATCAATGAAAAATGAACTTTTTACTGCAAGTTTTTTGAAAATCTACCTTGATAAAGCCAATCTTTAATATTTAGTGTGTAGTTTTAAGGATCTTAGCATGAATAAAGACTGATGGTTCATTCTAACATGTTTAAACATGCACATATTACAGTTATTCACTGTATTGAGCACCAGTCTACGGCCTCGATCGTCCCTTTGCTTCATCTGTGTTTAGACATGTGGCCCTTGATGGAAAAAGTTTGGACACCCCTGGTCTAGTGTATTTTGATTTCTGATCTAGTCGCTGGAGAAAAATGAAATTGAGTGGAGGCACTAGGTGGCGCCAGACTGACTATGTGCACACAGCACCGTTTTTAAAGTTACAAAAGTTTTTTGAAACCCGCATAAATACACCATCGAGCGCCGTCGTCACTACGCCAAACTTCTGGGCGGCGCCTGGATTAGACTCCAACCTGCAGCATTTATTTCATTACAGTTGTAAGTTTTACTCACAAATACCTTGAAAAACGTGCGTTAGTGAGCGGGCTCGCCTCTCCACAGATCTGTTAAAGAAGTGGCAAAATTGCTAACCTCCGAGCCTCTGGTCTCTGGTCATGGATAAGAAACATCAGCTGTGTGCGCAAATGCAAACACATGACAAGTGTTTCACCACAAGAAATGCGACTGCTGCTCTCATCAGCTCCTAAAACTTTACAAGCAAACACAAAACCGTAGTTTTCCGGAATCTCCACTCTAGCCTGAGTTTTTAGAAAGTTTCGTTTTCCGAGGCGAATTCACCGTTTTGTGTGTAAACGATGAGAACAGACGAAGGGACATTTTTAAAAACACCCGTCTGTGTGTAAACGAGACCTTAAAACACCAGGACCTTGTAGCGCGGGTTAATATGAACATTTTAAAACCAAAATGACGACGCTCACAGCAAAAGATACAGAGAGAGGAGAGAGAGGGACGACAGGGAGCATGGGCGCGCTTCCGGCTCTACCCACTCTGGCTCCAGTCGACTTTCCATTGAAAATCCGTCTCCTCTCTCTCTGCACCTGCTGCTTTGAGTTTCATCATTTCGCTCTTAAAATGTTCGTATTAACCCACTCTACATGTTTCTGCTGTTTTTATTTCACTATTTTGTCCGTAAATAAAAAATACCACTTCTAATATTGATCCTCGTGAGCTTCATTTGACTAAAAACGAACGCAATTAGCCGACTTCTACGGAAAAAATAGAGAATTTCCCATCTTTCTTCACGTCTTTATCCGCACATACTGCAGATTCTCGGTAATTTACTTCAAAAACGCAGAAAAATCAGTTCTCGCTCGACCATAATCTGTCAAATGTTAAATCGCAGGTGAATTCCGGGCGAGGCTGCGTGTGTGAACGGGGCGTACAGACACAGATAGGAGAAAAGCTACATGGGCTACTTATTGTAAAATACTGCTTATAGCCATTCCCGCTAAATATTGTACAAAAGTTATTAGGCAAAAGTAGATCATCTTCTTGTATTTGAACTAAAGGGTTTGAGTCCCAGCTGTCCGGCCATCATGCAATAGTGGAGTCTCTCTTTTAAAGGTCCTATATTACGCACTATTCACTCTTTAAGCCGCGTTAGAACGTCGTTTCCTGCTCAAAAACAGACCTGGAGTTGCGTTTTGTTCCATTCACGCGCGATAAAATGTCTAGAAATGCCTCCCTGGGCCTAGAATGTTCCGCAGTGTGACATTAAACAGCTCTAATTTACGTTTATTCAATCGCAAGAGGGTTTTAGAGCTCAAAAATACCTCGAAAAGCAGACATTCTGACTCTGAGCGGGCTCGTCTCTCCACAGATCTGACCCGTAACTCGGTCCGGTTTGGGTTCCGAGAAGATAGAAACGTTTAAAGCGACACCGTGGAACATTCCAGACAAAAGCAAATTCGACGAAGCCTCCACCTGAAAAGTTAAAGTTGCGTTTTTCTTTTACCTTTTGTTCCTTTTTTTTTTGAGATTGTCAAGTATCAAAATCTACAGCTGCAAATGCTCTGTTCCACCTTGTGATGTCATGAAGTGGTAGTTTTCAATCTACCATATCCAGTGGTACGGACGCAGTGAGGTTTTTTCAGTGGTGCCCAATATTTTTTGCGCCACGGACTGGTTTTACATCCAATAATATTTTGCAGTCCACGCAGCATGGTTAAGTCCTGGTTAAATCCTGTTTTACCCCTGGATTAGACCAAAAACCAGGTCTAAACCCCTGGATTAGACCTGGTTTAGACCTGGTTTAGACCTGATTTAGACCTGGTTTAAACCTGATTTTAGTCCTGGTTTAAGACCTGGTTTAGACCTGATTTAGACCTGGTTTAGACCTGTTTTGAATCTGGTTTAGTCCTGCTTTAGACCTGGTTTAGTCCTGGTTTTAGACCTGTTTTAGACCTGTTTTAGTCCTAGTTTAGACCTGGTTTAGACCTGGTTTAGACCTGTTTTAGACCTGTTTTAGTCCTAGTTTAGACCTGGTTTAGACCTGTTTTAGATCTGGTTTAGTCCTGGTTTTAGATCTGTTTTAGTCACCTGATTTCGTCCTGGTTTAGTCGTGGTTTAGACCTGGTTTAGTCCTGGTTTAGTCCTGGTTTAGACCTGGTTTAGACCTGGTTTAGTCCTGGTTTTAGATCTGTTTTAGTCACCTGATTTCGTCCTGGTTTAGACCTGGTTTAGACCTGGTTTAGACCTGGTTTAGTCGTGGTTTAGACCTGGTTTAGACCTGGTTTAGTCGTGGTTTAGACCTGGTTTAGTCCTGGTTTAGTCCTGGTTTAGTCCTGTTTCCTGGTTTAGACCTGGTTTAGACCTGGTTTAGTCCTGGTTTTAGATCTGTTTTAGTCACCTGATTTCGTCCTGGTTTAGACCTGGTTTAGACCTGGTTTAGTCCTGGTTTTAGACCTGGTTTAGTCCTGGTTTAGACCTGGTTTAGTCCTGGTTTAGTCCTGGTTTAGACCTGGTTTAGACCTGGTTTAGTCCTGGTTTTAGATCTGTTTTAGTCACCTGATTTCGTCCTGGTTTAGACCTGGTTTAGTCGTGGTTTAGACCTGGTTTAGTCCTGGTTTAGACCAGTTTTAGACCTGCTTTAGTCCTGGTTTAGACCTGTTTTAGACCTGTTTTAGTCCTAGTTTAGACCTGCTTTAGACCTGGTTTAGTCCTGGTTTAGACCTGGTTTAGTCCTGGTTTAGACCTGGTTTAGTCCTGCTTTAGACCAGTTTTAGACCTGGTTTAGTCCTGTGAGCTCATACAAGTGACACGTTGCGGAGCCTCCGAGTTCTTCCGAGTTGCGCCGTCTGAAGAAAAGGGGCGTGTCCGTGCGCGTCGCTGGGCAACGTCCTCAAACCTCCGAGTCGGACGGACAAACGAACGCACCACGAAAACAAACTGTTGGTCTGAAAATCGAACCGAATGACATAAAACATCAGGAGACCAAATGAACCTCTTAAAGACACAGCGGAGCGTTTCCTGCATCACCACGTCATGACATCACAAGTTGGAACAGAGTGTTTTTTTCCGTTTGAGAGAAGAACTCAGCCTAAATGTTCGAGTTTGCGAGTTAAACGTGCGAATGAAACAAAACAAAACAAAACTCCGGTTGTGTTTGTGAGGAGGAAGCGACATCGGAGCGCGGCTGCTGGAGTAATATCGGCCCTTTAAGCTTGTTCTTGAGTTCTGCCGCCGCCGGACGCCATCTTTGTTTTGTCCTTGGGTTTGGGGTCGGTGGGCGGGGCCTGCGGCGAGGACGGCGAGGAGGGCTTGTGGGCGGCGGCGGCGCTGCTGCTGCTGCTGTGAGGGGCATGCTTGGCGGGCGAGCAGGGGGACGGGCACGGACCTCCCGGCGCCAGGTTCTTGTCGTCCGTGAAGAGCTGTTTGATCACGTCGAAGAAGTTACTCAACGGACTGCCTAAAAACGGACAGAAAAGAAAGGAGAGAAAGAAGAGAGAAGAGAGAGGAGGGAGAGATGAGAGAGGAGGGAGAGAGAGAGGGGAAAGATAGAAAAGAGAGAGGAGGGAGAGAGAGAGAGGAAAAGAGGCAGAGAGAGAGGGGGGAAAGAGAAATGGAGACAGAGAGAAGAGAGAGAGAGAGAAAAGAGGGAGGAAAAAGCGAAAGGGGGAAAAGAGGAAAAGAGAGAGAGAGAGGGGGGATGAGAGGAGGAAAAGAGAGAAGAAGGGAGGGAGGGTAGAGGGAGAGAGAGGGGATGGGAGAGAGAGAAAGAGGAGAGAGAACAGAAGGAAAAGAGAGGAGGAGAGAGTGAAAAGAGAGAACGAGAGAGGGAGGGAGAGAGAGAGAGAAAAGGAGAGGAGAGAGAGAGGGGGAGAAAGAGAAATGGAGACAGAGAGAAAGAGAGAGAGAGAGAGAAAAGAGGGAGAGAGAGAGGGGGGAAAGAGAAATGGAGACAGAGAGAAAGAGAGAGAGAAAAGAAGGAGAGAGAGAAATGAGGGAGGAAAAAGCGAAAGGGGGAAAAGAGGAAAAGAGAGAGAGAGAGGGGGATGAGAGGAGGAAAAGAGGAAGAGAGGGAGGGAGGGTAGAGGGAGAGAGAAGGGATGGGAGAGAGAAGAGAGAGAGAGAGAACAGAAGGAAAAAGAGAGGAGGAGAGGGGGGATAGAGTGAAAAGAGAGAACGAGAGAAGGAGGGAGAGAGAGAGAGAGAAAGGGGGGTAGAGAAAAAGGGGAAAGAGAGAGGAGAGAGAGAGAGAGAGAGAGAGAGAGAGAGAGAAAGAGAGGCAGAGAGAGAGAGAGAGGGAAAGAGAAATGGAGACAGAGAGAAAGAGGAGAGAGAGAAAAGAGGGAGGAAAAAGCGAAAGGGGGAAAAGAGGAAAAGAGAGAGAGAGAGGGGGGATGAGAGGAGGAAAAGAGGAAGAGAGGGAGGGAGGGTAGAGGGAGAGAGAGGGGATGGGAGAGAGAAAGAGGAAGAGAGAGAGAACAGAAGGAAAAAGAGAGGAGGAGAGAGTGAAAAGAGAGAACGAGAGAAGGAGGGAGAGAGAGAGAGAGAGAAAGGGGGGGTAGAGAAAAAGGGGAAAAGAGAGGAGGGAGAGAGAGAGGAAAGATAGAAAAGAGAGATGAGGGAGAGAGAGAGGAAAAGAGGCAGAGAGAGAGAGGGGGAAAGAGAAATGGAGACAGAGAGAAAGAGAGAGAGAGAGAAAAGAGGGAGGAAAAAGCGAAAAGGGGAAAAAAGAAGAGAGAGAGAGAGGGGAATGAGAGGAGGAAAAGAGAGGGAGGGAGGGTAGAGGGAGAGAGAGGGGATGGGAGAGAGAAAGAGGAGAGAGAGAAGAAAGAAGAGAGAAGAGAGAGAGAGAGAGGAAGGATAGAAATGGGAGAGGAGAAATAGAGAAAAGAAGAGGGGGAGGGAAAAAAAGGGAAGGAGAGGGGGGAGACGGAGGAATAGAGAGAGGAAGGGGGATAGAGAGAGAGGGGGGAAAGAGAGATGGGGAGGGAGGGTAGAAGGAGAGAGAGGGGATGGGAGAGAGTAAGGGAGAGGGAAGAGAAAGAGAGGAGAGAGAGAGAGAACAGAGGGAAAGAGAGAGGGGAGAGAGAGAGACAGAGAGTGAGGAGGAGATAGAGAGAGAGATGGAGAAAGAGAGAGAAATAGAAAGAGGAAAGTAAGAATGAACAGAAAAAGAAGAGAGGACGAGACAGAGAGATACAGCGAAAGAGAGATGGACGAAGAGAGAGAGAAAAGAGAGATGGAGAGAGAAGGGAGGGGAGGACAGAGAAAGAGAAGAGAGAGAGAGAGAGAGAGAGAAAAGGGAGGAGAGAGAGAAAGAGGAGATAAAAAGCGAAAGGGGGAAAAGAGGGAAGGGGGAGAGTGAGAGAGAGGAGGAAAAGAGGAAGAGAGAGAGGCAGGGTAGAGGGAGAGAGAAAGAGGAGAGAGAACAGAGGGAAAGAGAGACGAGGAAGAGAGGGGGGATAGAGGGAAAAGAGAGAATGAGAGAAGAAAAAGAGAGAGGGGAGGAGGGAGGGAGAGAGAGAGAAAGGGGGAATAGAGAGAGAGGAGGAAAGAGAGATGGAGAGAGAGAGAGAGAGGGGAAAAGAGGAAGAGATATAGAGAGTAGAGGGAAGAGAGAAAGAACGGAAGGAAAGAGAGAGAGGAGGAGAGGGGGATAGATGGAAAGAGGGAAAATAGAGAAAGAGAGGGAAGGGAAAAAAAGGGAAGGAGAGGGGGGGAGACGGAGGAATAGAGAGAGGAAGGGGATATGGGGGGGGAAGAGGGATGGGAGAGAGAGGGGGGGAGGGTAGAAGGAGAGAGAGAGAGAGAGGGGATGGGAGAGAGTAAGGGAGAGGGAAGAGAAAGAGAGGAGAGAGAGAGAACAGAGGGAAAGAGAGAGGGGGGATAGAGGGAAAGGAGAGAAAGAGAGGGAAGGGAGAAAGAGAGAGGAGGAGGGACAGTGAGAAAGGGAGAGAAGAGAGAGGGAGAGAGACAGAGACGAGAGAGAGAGGAGAAAGAAGCGAGAAAAAGGGAGAGGGACGAGAGATGGAGGAGAGAGAGAGAGATGGAGAAAGAGAGAGAAATAGAAAGAGGAGAGTAAGTATGAACAGAAAAAGAGGATAAGACACAAAGAGACAGCAAAAGAGAGACAGACAAAGGGAGAGAGAGGAAGGCAGACAGAGGGCAGCAGAGAGAGAGAAAATGAGAGACAGAGAGACAGGAAGAGAAAAAAAAAGGAGAAAAAAGAGAGGATGAGACACAGAGGACTGATATAAAGTGTTACACAGGAGTTCAGGAGGGAGAGGGGAGGAGTCAAAACAAAACAGGAAGCTTCATAAATGAAACAGCAGATGTGGAACGTTTCTCTTTATCGACTGAAAAAATGTACGTTTTGATCCTCGACTAATGCGAAATATGATGAAAAATTACACAAACTCAAATGATAGTTGCTGAATCAGTGGCATTATTATTATGTTTTCTTCCAGATCAGGACTGTTCCGCTCTGCTGTCCCACTGTTCACTTCCTCCTTGTTTCTTTGGGAGAGTCAAACATGAGATTTGAAAGACCGTTTTGATTATTTTTGCTTTAATATTTTGTCCCCTGAGCCGTCGAACTTGAACGTGAATGGAACGGGGTTAGAAATATGGAAGCCTCGTCTGTTTTACTGTGAACTGTGAAGACCGACATGATACTCTTGTTTTTATGTGTTCCGATAAAATATTTCAGTGGGATCTATTCACATTTACATTGCAAAACCAAAAGACGTTTGGAAACATGTGGGTGATGAATTCCTTTGGGCTCTGTTGGCGAATGAACAGCGACAAAATCTGGGAAAACTGAGAAAATGGTCCAGTTTTCTTTATCTAGATGTCATTGTATTCTTTCAAGACAAGACGTGGAAGACAGTCCACGGGGCGTACGAGAGGAGGCATAGTCCACATGGCGTACGGGAGGAGGCATGGTCCTCGCGGCGTACGGGAGGAGGCATGGTCCACGGGGCGTACGAGAGGAGGCATGGTCCACATGGCGTACGGGAGGAGGCATGGTCCTCACGGCGTACGGGAGGAGGCATGGTCCTCGCGGCGTACGGGAGGAGGCATGGTCCACGGGGCGTACGAGAGGAGGCATGGTCCACATGGCGTAAGGGAGGAGGCATGGTCCTCGCGGCGTACGGGAGGAGGCATGGTCCTCGCGGCGTACGGGAGGAGGCATGGTCCACGTGGCGTACGAAAGGAGGCATAGTCCACGTGGCGTACGGGGGGAGGCATGGTCCCTACGGTGTACGAGAGAAGGCGCTGTCCCCACTGCGTACGAGTGGAGGCATGGTCCACGCGGCATACGGGAGGAGGCGCGGCCCCAGCAACGTACGAGAGGAGGTATGGTCCATAGGGTGTACGAGAGGAGGCATGGTCCGCACGGCGTACGGGAGGAGGCATGGTCCACGTGGCGTACGGGAGGAGGCATGGTCCATGCGGCGTACGAGAGGAGGCATGGTCCACGTGGTGTATGGGAGGAGGCAAGGTCCCCACGGCGTACGGGAGGAGGCATGGTCCACGCGGCGTACGGGAGGAGGCATGGTCCACGCGGCGTACGGGAGGAGGCATGGTCCATGCGACGTACGAGAGGAGGCGCTGTCCAGGCAGCGTACGCAAGAATGCGCAGTCTAGGCAGTGTACGGGAGGAGGCGCTGTCCATGTGGTATACGCAAGAAGACACAGTCCAGGTGGAATACGGGAGGAGGCGCGGTCCGAAGTGTCAAAATGGGGGAATGTAGGAATGACGGAATGTTGGGGCGGGGGTCTGTTTGAGTGGCGGTATGTCGGAATAAGGGCTGTACCCCGTTGTGACGAGGCTGCTGCTGAGTCCACTGTTTTCTCCCATGCCCAGGGTCAGGAACTACACAGGAAGTCACCATCCACATGTTTCCAAACGTCGTCTAAATGTGAACAGAGCCTATAAAGTCTTTCTGTGCTTGTTGTCAGATCTACATTTAAAGTTTATTCACCAAACATATTTTACTACAACACTCTTCAACATGAAATCCCTTTGTGATCTCACTGTGACTGGGACATTTTTACTTTTGCTGAGGATTGTCCAAAAGTAAATCCATCTCTCCTGTGAACTCCAGAAACATTCTCCAAGTCTTTCAAATCTCATGTTTCAGACGTATTAGAGTTTTGGTGAGTGCGTTCAAAACCATGCAACATTTTACACTGGAGTTAAGAGTTAAACGTGAGTGCATTAAATCAACTTACCGCAGCATTTCTGTTAATCGGGGTTATTTCATGCACAGGCTCAACATGTCCATTTTACGTTTTACATTTTACAAGACGAGAGCTTCAAATGCAAAAGCAACAACTTCCTCCCTACTCTTATACGGACATTTTTAAAGTATTTTTAGTTTTAAAGTGCATATGACAGGTTAAACTACAAACATCACAAAAGCTTAGAGCCAGCACAATTATATTTAGATTTTT